CACATGGCATCCACACACATGCACATGGCATCCACACACATGCACATGCATCCACACACATGCACATGGCATCCACACACATGCACATGGCATCCACACACATACACATGGGATTCACACAGATGCACATGCATCCACACACATGCACATGGCATCCACACACATGCACATGGCATCCACACACATGCGCATGGCATCCACACACATGCACATGGCATCCATACACATGCACATGGCATCCACACACATGCACATGGCATCCACACACATGCACATGGCATCCACATGCACCCACATGGCATCCATACACATGCACATGGCATCCACATGCATCCACATGGCACACACAGCATCCTTACACATACATATACACACACACACATGACATCCTTACACATACGCATGGCATCCACACATACAAACACAGATAATAATAATAATAATAATAAAAGCAAATCTTTAAAAAGTAAACCAAATGTTATTTATTCTGTCTCAAGTTCTACAGATACTTCTCCCTATGTAAATCTCAACTGCTGGATAGACTTATTTAATCTTCTGCCTTCTACACTTAGGTACGTGCATCTGGGGCAAGCCAGTCTCCAGATCCCCCATGTGCTTAAATGGTCAGTGATTGAGCCCTGAGAGGGGATCAGGATGATGAGATCTGAAAGCCCCTCTATTACGCCAGTGGCTGGGGAAACCACAGCAGATTTAGATTTGAAAGGGGCTTCTCCAGGCCTTGGAAGCCTGTCAGCATAAACGGGGGAAATGGGGTACCCCTCACGCAGCAGGGGCTGAGCTGCACCCCTCACGCAGCAGGGGCTGAGCTGCATAAATCTGCTCTGCTCTCATTTTTATTTTGTGAGAAGGGCCTTATTATATAACCCTGGCTAGCCTGAAACTCACTGTTTAGATCAGGGTATCCTGGAATTCAGAGAGATCTACCATCTCTCCTTCCTGAGTGGCAGGATTAAAGGTGTGCACCACAGTGTCTGACTTTACACTTTTTTTTTTTTTGAGTCAAGGTTAGTCATTGAACTGGGAGCTCACCGGTTCAGATAGGCTGGCTGACCAGTGAACTCCACCTCCCCTGATAGAATGTTACAGATGGCACCATCATGCCTGGCTTTGATGTGGGTGCTGGGATCTGAACTCAGGTCCTCATGCTTGAGCAGCAGTCACCCACTAAGCCATTTCCTTAGCCCCTATACTCCCCTCTCCCCATCACAGTGAATACATGCAAGATCCATCATTCGACCACTCACTTTGTCTTCATGGCTTGCATGCCTTCAGCCTCTTGGGTGACTCTTCTTTCTATCCATCCCCAGAATCCATCTTTCACTAGAAACTCTATTTCCACCTCTGACAGATGAAGTCAGCTGACTGCTGGCTTCTCTTACGCACAGCAACGAGTGGAGTGATGAGCAGCTCCACTTGCCTGTGAATTTCCTTTAATAGCTCAGCCCTGAGGAAGGCCAGGCTTCTGAGATCGGGGGACAGCCTGTCACATGCTTTTAGCTACTGAAGAGCAGGGGAAGTGCCCACAATTCATTGCATGTCTACTATATTTCAGGTACAAAATCTATGATGTCGTCTCCTAACCTTGGAACGCTGAGAAGAGGCAAGCTAATGTTTTTTTCACACCCCCCTCCTTAACTGCAGAGACCCTTGGTCCTCATAGGAATCTATAAACCCGAGTCGTCTCTGGCCTTTTGCCAAAGGTGTTGTGGCAGCTGGTGGTCCTCAGAGCAAACCAGCTGCCATCTTTAACAGATCAGGTGAGCCTTCTTGTAAGGGTCAGACACAGCTGGGTCTGTGGAGTGTTGACATTTCTCAGAGCGGGAGGACTTAGGGAGGAGCATGGACTTCGGGTTCCAGCTACTAGTGTGCAATTTGTCTCTACCTACACATGGCCTCGAAGGCCCTGAGAATACAGACGGGGGTGGAGGGAGGGTAGTAAGTGTGGTGGTTTGATTAAAAATGGCTCCCACATCTCACATATTTGACTGTTTGATCATGGGGACTATAATTAGTTGAGAGGGATTAGGAGGTGTGGCCTTCTTGGAGGAAGTGTGTCACTAGGGATGGGATTTGGGGTTTCAAATGCTGCAGTCGGGTCCAGTGTCTCTACTTCCGGCTGCCTGTGGATCTGGATCTGGATCTAGAACTCTCAGCCTCTCCAGGACTGTGTCTGCCAGTGTACTGCCATGCTCCCCACCATTAGACTAAACCTCGGAAACTGTAAGCGAGCCCCCAACTAAATGCTGTCTTTTAGAAACGTTGCCATTGTCATGGTGTCTCTTCACAGCAGTGGGACACTGACTAAGACAGTAACCAGAGGGGATCCATCCATTGATGCGCACAGGCATGGAGACCCATCTATGCGGCTGTGGGGATGTTGCCATGCGTTCTCCCCAGTGTTGCTGTGTTGGGATAGCCTACACTCCTGCAGTAATCCCTTGGCTATGCTCCGCCAGACAGTCCAACAAACTCGTTGGATTCCCAGGGTGGACTCTGGTTTGCCACTGGAATCTTATGAGGACGAGGTAGACACTGTTGCTATCTCACTGGGGAAGGAATCGACTCTGGGATTCTGAGTTACAGTGTGTCCCTGAGTGGCTCAGGGGAATCCTGTTGACAGGGCTGATCCCCGCCCTGATCTCTGCCGGGGGGCACACTCACCCTTTCACTCCATTCCGTGAGGAACCAGCTCTTCGCACAGGGCCCCATGTCACAGTTCTCAATGTCGTTTGGTCGGAGCTTCATGTTGCACTCCTCGTCGCCCACCACGTCCCCGAGGTTGCTCACACACTTCACGTCCCGGGTCCGCTGCCCCACACCACAGGGCACGGAGCACTAAAACACAGCAGGCTTTGGTGTCGTGTTCTCTCATTCTTTGTCACCTGACCCCCAACAGATAATGTGAGGAGGACCCCTGTCTTGTTGGGCCCACTGCAATGCCTGTAATTCCCAGGGGAGAAAGTGATCATGGGAGAACGCCATGGCCTGTTCTTCTAAGAACCTTCTTGGATGGCATCTTGTTTACTGGCCTGCTTGAGGCCTCAGACTTTCTATCTCCAGGACAGACGTACAACACTAGAAGGCACTGGCTCTGATAGTAGTTGCTAACCTTCCCTTAACACATGGGAGACTAGGGCAGGTGATGTCTACAGGCACAGGACTCCCATAAAGACTGGATATAGGCCACTAGCTTGAACTCTACGGAGCTGTTAGCAGGAGCTGTGTTTGCTGACAGGCTGTCCAGCAAACATTCCCCACTCTACCCAAGGGTTATGAGTCACAAGTCCTCATAGGGAAGGGTGGGCACTGGAGGGAGGGGGAGGTCCTGTACCGAGGTCCAGTCGGTCCGAATCTGCCACTCGCTGCAGATCTTGAGCTGGCAAGTGCTGGTGGTCTCTGGCTTCTCCAGGTGCTGGCAGCGGTAGGGTTGCACCGTCAGGCTACGGTTGGCATACACCTGGCGGCACAGGACCTGGCGGTGCTGCATGCCCAGGCCACAGGTCTTGCTGCACTCGGACCACTCCCCGATGTCCCAGCTGGCTCGTGGAATGGATCGAGGGTAGACAGACAGGGGAGAAGATCAGTTAACACAGTCGCTGGGCATGGGGAGGAGCCCTCTTCCCGGAGCAGAGTCTGAAGACCCTGTGATTGTAAGGGGAGCTGGTTGGGAATACTGTGACTCAATTGCCCAGATCCTTTTTGTACACAGTTATAGAATGAGTGAGAAGGCACAAATGATTTCTATTTAGTGATCAGAGCAGAGCCTCTCAATGACACCCCTAAATTAGCTTGATTTCCCTACAAGGCTAACCCACTTGGGAGCAGAGAGATCTCAATGGAGGTGTCTTCTATTGCCCGTCATTACATGGCCAATCTTGGCAATTAGTGAATGAAACATGATCAAGCATATATTTGGAAAAAAATACATTTTTCTTTACTGTAAGGATTAAGCTTTGACCTTTTAGGACCTGTCCTAATCCATCTGAGGCTGACTTATTTATCATTCAATAACCCATTGCTAACCTCTCTTGGATACACCTCCTGACTCCTCCACACCAACTTGGCACTGTCTGTACACTCAGCTCACATATGAGCTTTCTTACTGGGTTCTCATTCCTATGGCCTCCCCTGTTTTCCTAGATAGGCTTCCTGGCTAAGCTTGTTGATTTGTTTTAGACCACCAGCCTTTCAGTTCCTCTAGAAAGGCAGGCAGGCTTGCTAAGGGGGTCTATCCTGTACACAATCTCAGCCAGTGTTTGCACATCAAATTTATATGGGGTTAAAAATTCAAATGTATCTGCTACTAAGATCTTATGGCTATCAACCAGAAGGGACCTGGTGAGAGGTGACCAGGGAGGCCTCTTACAAGGCTGGGCAGGGGAAGAGGTTGCAGGGCTCCTCCTCTGGGGTCGGCTTCATGCTGGAGTCACAGTAGCTCTCGGGAACCTCCTCATGTGTGTTTCTGTGCACACAGCGGAAGATAGGGTACTGAGATCCTGCAATGACAAGGAAGATGTCTGAAGGCCAGCCCACACCCTGGGATGCTGGGCTGTGGTGAAAATGAGCAGGCATTTGGGGGATGGTGAGGGGAGAGTGCAGGACTAGAGAGGTCAAGCCCTGTATCCCTACAACTCTTGATATAGAAATACCCACATGGCTCTGCTGGGGGCTGTGGGTATGCAAAGGACACATGCACGCACACACACGCACGCACGCACGCACGCATGCATGTGCTTGGAAAGATGGCTCTGTCAATTAGACCCTTGTACAAGGACTTAAGTTAGTTTCCTAGCACATGTCAAAAAGCTAGGCATGGTGGCACATGCTAAGAATCCCACTGTTGGAGAGGTGGGTTACTGGAGCTTGCTGGCCAGCTGCCTAGCCTAATTGGTGAGCTCCAGGTCCCCAGAAGAGGTCCTCTCTCAAAAATAAGGTGAATGACTTCCTGAAGAATGATACCCAAGGTTGTCCTCTGATACACACACACACACACACACACACACACACACACACACACTCGTGTGTACCCATTCACCTGTGAAAACATGTATATATGTACATGCATGTCCACACACAAATGCACACACAGTGACAGTAAAAGAGCTCACTAGTCAAAGGGGGTGAGCATAGAGTGGACACAAACAGAAACGGTCCCAAGATTCTCTGGAGGTGTCTGTGAGAAAATGCCCTGGAGATAGAAAAATGGCCAGGTGTGGTGTGTCTGTGCACATGTGTCAGGGAAGGGGGCTGTCCACCAGTCTAACATGGAATGAACTGGCCTGCTAGCCGGGTGCATGGAAGAGGCTGAAGCAGAGGAGATTCAAGACTTACAGAAGAGCAGCTGCCTTCCTACTTTGTAACACATTTCCCATGATCCAACAGTGTCCCGATTCAGGGGCTCAGTCCTTTTAGCATCCGCCAGCTTCCCGTGAGGTAGAGCTTCCCTGGACAAGTCAGTTCTGGTTCACCTCACTCAGCACCTATCAGAGGTCTAAGCTTGAAGTACTTTTCTAGAAAGCTAGTATCTGTTTCATGTTTTTATTTTGAACATACAGACTAGTTTCATTGCCTTAATAAGGACAAACTATTTTCTATAAAAAGCCAGTTAAGGGTAATTTCTAGGTCTCAGTTTAATTTTGCCTTTCTCTCTGCTGCCACCTGCTGGCAGAACTTGAGTGTTACTAGAGGTCATTATGAAACACACAAATCTTCCTAGGAAGAGCACTACAATTCCTTTAAAAAAAAAACCAAAAAACTATGCATATCTGTGCTTCTAACTGGTTAAATTCCCCCCTCCCCAAGAACTGTAACTCACCAGTGTTAATTGTACCACGAAGGCTAACTTTTTTCTTTTAAAGTTTCTTAAAAAAACTTTTTATTAAATTTGTTCTTTGACAGTTTTATACACATATATAGTGCTTTCTGATTACTTATATTTCCCACCCCTATTATCCCTACAGGGATCCATACCTGGTACTATAAATCCAGCTAAGAACCCATGGCTGAGCTGCTGTTAGGTTCTCGGGGAAACTACTACTGCTGTCCATGTCACCACTAAAGTGACTGACTGCCGAGCTGCCTTGTAAACACTTGGGTTCACACCTATTTGCTACTCTCTGTGTTAGTCAGAGAAATGGTCCTTCACAATGGATGGCAGGAGATGCACAAACACTCAGCTATTCAAGAGACTAAGAGTACCTGACGGCACTCAGCCACGACTTTTAACACAAGTGCCTCGATGTCATCCAGCATGGATGTGGGGCAGGGATCCTTCAAGCTGGCCTCGTGTGACTCCCTGAGCCAGAGGGAGATGGTATAAGAAACACGACAGTTTGTAAGAGAGTTTTGAATCTGAAATAATCATTTGTTAACATTATTATGTTGGTAAATATGTACCATTATTTAATATGTTCCAATTAAGGCCAACTGTCAGCAGAGTTAAAAGCAGTTGTGACTATAAAATTAATAGCACAAAACCCCCTCCTTTTCTTGGTATTAAACTTTGTTCAGCAACATGCCTTAATCCTTTACATAGTATATATTTTTATTTAAAAATTTTGATTGATTGATTTTTTTATGTGTTTGGGTATTTTGGCTGCATGCATGTCTGTGCACCACATTTGTGGACAGAGACGAGCATGTCAGATCCTCTGGAATTGGAATGACAGACTGTTGTCAGCAGCCATGTGGATGCTGGAAATCAAACCTGGATTCTCAGGAAGAACAGTCAGTGCTCTTAACTGCCGAGCCATCCCTCCAGCTCTGGGGGATATTTTAAAATTAAATTCAGCCAATATTAAGCACACCATGTGAAGTTACAAAGACGAATAAGACCCAGTCCACAGACTGCAGTGTGCATTTGAAACTCGGCTATTAGAGGATTAGGTAAAGTTCTTAGGTAGCTCGTTCCTTTCCCTCTAGACTGCGTGAGTCTAACTTTTCCACTTACAGCTTTGTGGACTGAGAAGCTAAAGTAAGGTACCCCAACAGCTTGGCACTCGCAGAAGGGGAAACCTAATACACACAGCACAAACGATATAGGATACCGTAGGAATGTTCTGTGCCTGGAAAGATGGATCTTGCTTGGGGTTGTCTGGCAGGTGGCCACTGCCTGCCTCTCCTCCCATTTGACTGATCGTACATGCACTGCTCACTGTCCATGGCCCAGCTCCATGGAAAGGTCCCAAACAGACGAAATGAGAGGCCCTTTGTCTCTCTGATTCTGAGAAAATATCAGCTTGATAACTTTTGCCTCTGGTGACTGCAATGGTTTTTTTTTTTTCCCCTTTGGGTTAGCTTTAGTATCTGCAGAAAGGGGTACTGTCACTTGGCATGTCTCCAATGATTCCTCTGGTTGCTAACAAGCAAGGACAGGGTGTAGGGACAGATGCTGGCTGGGCTTCAGCCAGCCTGAGATCAGTTGTCCAGGCTTGTATGTAGGCATACTGGTCAACCCAGAAGCACAGCACACTGGAAGCAGAAGCAGAAATTGGGGAACAGTGTTGAGGTCTGTAAGACACTATAAAGAGTTAGATAAAAGAAGTATCAAGAAAAAAATTGAAAAAAGAAAGGGGTAGTGCTGGAGAGATGGAGGTAAGAGCACCGACTGCTCTTCCAGTGGTCCTGAGTTCAATTCCAGCAACCTCATAGTGGCTCACAACCATCTGTAATGGGATCTGATGACCTCTTCTGGTGTGTCTGAAGACAGTGACAGTGTACTCATATAAATAAAATAAATAAATTTAAAAAAGAATAATCTTTAGCAAAAAAGAAAGAAAAGAAAAAAAATTGAGTAACCCCAGGCTTTGAAATACAGGAACCAAGAGAGTCAAACCAGGAGGCCGGCAGAGGTCTGGGCACTTGTGAGGGACAGGTGATGACCTCTCCAGGACAGGGACTTGGGTTGTGTAGCCAAGGAGTCCACAGTGCCAGCACACTTGTCACTTGTGTTGAGGACTCAGTTTACCCACATGCCTTGTGCGTCTGCATTGTATTCCTCATTCCCAGCATGTCTGCTGCCACTGCTCTTATGGGGGGGGTCCCAGGGTCCCAGGGTCCCAGGGTCCCAGGGTCCCAGGGTCCCAGGG